TGTAGACTGTAAACACAATCACGTGCGAGAACTCCCTCGGGATGTAGTAGGCGCGGATGCCCACCGCAACAAGCTCAATGTCCTTTGTACAGAGTTGTTCTTTGATGGAGACGTGCGCGGGGTCGCACCATCTCTCATTCACGTACACCATTAGTCCACCGCCTCTCTTCTTCCCGGCCACATTTCTGTCCGCTCGAACCATTTCAAAACCGTCCATAGAAACGATCGAGTCTGGCGTCATCTCCGTCAACCAGGTCTCCGTGAAGCACAGCAGGCTGCACTCCCGAAACTCCCTCTCATGCCGAATCAGCGCCGCGAGCTCGTCCGTCTTGTTTTGAATGGAACGGACGTTTCCCATAATAACAGACGGAATGAATGGTCTGTACCTCCGTTTCCTCTCCTGAACATTCCGTCCGGCTCTGCACCCCCGTCTCTTCCTTCTTATTTCCACCGGAATCTCCGCTTTACCGGCGAAAGGAAGAGTGGTGTTGCGCAACGCCATCAGCTGGTCCCTGGTGTAAACAATGGACCCACTGGGCGTTTCAGCCGACGATGTTCCAAAAAGTGCAGAAAAAAGAAGGAAACAGACCACCAAAGTGATAGTAAGAAAAAGTACTAAGAGGAGGAGAGCTACTGTACACAGCTGCTGCCCGTGCAGCGCCATCTTGAAAAAAAAAAAAAAATTTGACCTCGGCACTTTCCCTTAGTCATGAAAAACAAAAAAAGAAAAAAAGGAATTGAGTTATCAACATTGTTTTTCAATCAAATTGGAAGAAAATCCATTGCAGCAACAAAACAAAATACCTTTTTTGAGATTATTGATTGAGGCAGTTTATACAGAGGAGTGAATCTTTCATCAGTCAGTGTCATGTCTGGCATTTTCTTGGCTGGGACTGATTATTAAAGGTTAGAAATGTGGGAGTGTGAAGTTTGCGAGCACAAAACAGTCAGGGCACGGAGGAGAGAGATGGATCCAAGGAGGAAGCAGCAAGTGTTTCTGCAAACAACTGTGTGTTTGAGGAGAAGCTGATCAAATTTACACACAAGCAGATAAATACCACGCACTAATATTGACTGGGCTAATGTATGTTTTTCTTATTTTATTCAACATCCCTGTATGAGTTGTATTTGACACGTAGAGACTGTAGTTTTTTATTATAGGACGAGGGTTTGCTTAGGGTTACAGTAGGACAATCATAAGTAACGTAAGGACAGGCTAAGTTTTATTTTCAATAACTCTTGAAGAGGGAAAGGAAAACAATACTGCTCTTAACAGCAGTATCTGACAGGATGGTGCCACTGTTGGTGCCTGCAGCTCTTCCTGTTATCAGCCCTGAGCCTGATGCAGCCGTGCACTGTCACTGTCATGGCTTCAGATTGGAATGGACTGTACGGATCTGTACTTTGTTGAAGGGCCATAAAAACAAGATTCACGACATAGGAAAACATCAGCTGAGCCAGGTTGATGGCACAGTCTTATCTGTTTTCAAAGTGGAGGGACTGCAATCGTACAGACCTCAGGCAACCTCGGTTATAACCACAGATAAGGAAAAGGCAGCAGGGGAAAAGAGGGTGGGGGGCGCGGGGCGAGGGATGGACAGCTCTCAATTGACATTTTCAGTTTTAATACATATAGATTTTTTATTTACATTTGCTTCAGTTTTTCTACTTTTGTGTGCATGGTGAAATACATTATTCATAGCTTCAGTTAAGGTGATGAATTTGTCCTGGACTTTATAGTCTTAGTGGTGTAAAAGCAACTTACTTTATCTTTGCCTTGTTTCTCATCCTGATATATAGTCCACCACTTGCCGTCGTTACTATAGGCAATTTTGTACGAGCCAACAAACTGGACGTGGCCAAAGTCTTTAGCTCCCTGGGTGATGACACCCGTGACCTTGGTTGGCACAAGCAGGTCCACCTGAGAGATACATAATAAGGGGGAAGGGGAGGAAGTAAGATCTCTGCTGGAACTTCAGAAAAAGAAAGATAACTTTACCCTCTGTACAATAATATACAATAATTCTAAACTATCGGTTAGCACAAGAGCATTCATACACAACCTTCACTTAATCTCAACATTCCTTGATGTTACAGGTTTGATGTCTAAAATAATATGTATTAAATATGGTGAATCAATATTAAAAATATGATTTTAAATATTAACATTTGTATTCCAGAAGAAAAAAAAATGTAATTCAGCTAATGCTTATTTCAATTGTGTTTCAGTTTCTTTTATTGTTAAAAAACATTTGACTTTTGTGTTGTGGCGCTTTGGCCCAGAGGTAATGTCTCTGTCACCCAGGGTTTACCTCCTGGGCAAGATTGAATTGTCATGATTATACAGGTAATGACCCAAAATGCAGGCTCAGACAACGGTTGGTGAGAAAAGAGGATTTATTTTGCCGTGGAAGAAAAAGGGGAAGGAAAGGTTCCGATAACGAGATGGAGGAAATGGCTGAGGTGAAGCTGAGGTGAAGCAGTGGTTGAAGGGGATGGAGGAGGCACAGAGTGCAGGCTGTCCGGCGATGCCTGGTGGAGAGCAGGTAAGCAGGAGGCGGACCTGAGCACAAGAGGATCGGTGATTAGAGATCATTCCATAAATCAACGGGAAGCACAAAGAACAATAGTTGAAGTCGATCGGGACGTTAACTACCACGGTGGCTGAACAAACGATCTGACAAGGAGTGGGAGAAAGGCCAGGGTTTTTATGCAGTCAGAGTGATGAGTTGATTGAAGACAGGTGAGCTGAGGAACGGCAGGTGTGCTTCAGTGATTATCCAGGCAGGACCAGGGAAATGTGCCACACCCACAACACAGACAGAGACAAGTACAGAACACAAGGATGGGGAAAACAAGGGAATACACAGGGAAACAACAGTCACGACTGTCATCGTGACATGAATCCCGGTTAGGGCGGTTGCTGCCTTCCAGTGGACTCACCACCCGCAGGAAGGTTCACGAGGGGCTGGTACGGTGCAGTGGGATTTGAGTGGCGGTCATGGAGACTGCTGCCCCTGCGACCCAGTAATGGATAAGCGGATGAAGATGGATGGATGGATGGATAGAACATTGTATGCTCTGATTATACAGTGGTATGAAAAAGTTTGAGCACCCCTGATCATTTTCTAGATTTTCCTTTATGGATCATTTGTTGTTCGGAACAGCAATTTCAATTAAATATATC